CCCCTCCTCCTCCCCCCTCCGTCATTCCCAACATTCCTGTGAACAGATTAAAGTCATGGAAAAGGGTTTTTCAAAGACTTCAAACTAAGAACAATCTAAAAAAAAAAACACCCACAAACACAGAGGCTGTTGGTGAAATATTATATTCTATTTTTCACCAAAAGGTTTGGTGTAAAATACAGGAAAAACCAGCAGAAAAATAAACTTTAATTCATGAACAAACCACGGCTTTAGTCAAATTAGTCTAATTATAAAACCTTTATTTATCCCGTGGTTGGCTGTGTGTGTGTGTGTGTGTGTGTGTGTGTGTACTCAGTCTAACTCTGGTTCTAAAGTTTTCTGTTGTTTTTCTAAGTTAATGTTGCAGCAAAACCAGGTTGGCCAGAACTGGAACTGATTTCCTCTCCTCACTTTCCCTCTCCACTGGACTCTTTTATTTTTACCTCTGTGTGTGTGTGTGTGTGTGACATTAATGCTGTGTCAGCATAAATAGTGCAGTGTGTGTGTGTGTGTGGGACCGTTTGTTGTCCCCTAAACCCTGTGGCTCGGGGTGACTTCAAGGTAAAGGAAACAATAAACACTTCACAACGAATACCACCAGGGGTCACTGGTCCAGAAACAGGAGTTCAGAGAAAAGTTAAAAAAAAACTGGTTGTTGTTAAAGATGTCATAGTTTATTAGTACGATCCGCCTCAGCCAATCAGATTTAAATGAGCTAACTCTTCTTCTGCTCCCTCAGACCCGGTGGACGTGCTGCGGGCTCTGCAGGTCCCCTCTCTGCCGGAGGGTGTAAAGAAAGTCCCCGGCTTCTGCACATCGCGCCGCTCCGGCAGTCCTGACCATGCTTACCGCATCAGCAAGAAGGCCCAGATCTCTGCCCCCACCAAACAGCTCTTCTCAGGTGAGTCTCGGCCCTGGTGGCGGTTCTCAGGGTAAATATGGCGGTAAAACACAGGGTAAAGCAGTACAAGCTAACGTACAACGATGCTATGTACGTTAGCTTTAGTCAAAACAAGAAAAACGAGTGGTTGTTTGTTTTATATATATGTTATAAGGCTATGTGCGTAGCCGCGTTTTTATCCAATCGTATTTCAGCCTCGTGTGTTGCTAGGGAGAAATGTGCCCCGTGGCCTTTTAGTGACCGAATGGCAACGAGATTGTTTCGTTAACCAATCACATCAGAGTTGGGACACCAAGACCCAAACAGGCGATTTGAGTGATTTGATTGGATGGTCAGAGAAGAAACGTCTTCAATACGTCTGGACTGTTAGCATTAGCATGGATGACGATAGAAAAGGAATTGTTGTTAGAACGAACGGATTAGAGTATAGTATAGTATAGAATAATAATATAATTATATAAAAATAACTAGAAGTTTTGGTGAGTAAAATTATTTAGTCTTTTAAATATTATTATAATGTTATCGAGTTATTATTAATGTTATTTTATGGCCAGTTTGTCGCAGCTGTGGTTGAATTCGCAGGTTTGTTGATTCAGTAATGACGACGTTAATTTTACATTCGTTATCTACGACATATAACGAGTCGTTATATTGTTTTTGTTTCTTCTGTATAATATTGGTGACGTCTATGGCCATGACGACGTCATTAAGGTGTAGGGTCGTTAAGTGGGCGGTTCTACTGTCTCTGTCTGGGTTCCGTCTGGTTTATCTGTGTATCCAGGATTGTGGCTCCTGTGTCAGACTGCTGGATGTAAGGTGTAATTACAGCAGTCGAGTTAAACAGTGTGGGAAGAGTCAAACAAATAAAAGTGTAGGATTCAGTCACTGACACCCAGGAGTGGGGGGGGAGGGGGGTGGAGAAGGTGGTGTTTATGTGGTTTCAGAAGAAATCCTGAAAAGTAAGAACAGATTTTGTATGGTTTCTCTGCTCACTCTGCAGCAGCGTCACCTGTTATTATGTATGTATGTGTGTGTGTGTGTGTGTGTTCCTAATTCCAGGATTACAGGCTGATATTCCATAGTCATTAAAATCCATGCTGGTATTTTGCACTTTAATCTCTGAGATCGTTTGGGTTTTTTTCTCCATAAATCTTTGAGTGAGACAAACTAGAGCTGAAGCTAAAGTTCCCTCTGGGTAATTGTTGCTATGGCGACGCCTCCTGCGGCTACAGTTCAGTTCAACTGTTTGTTGTTGTAGGTTTGAGGTCGGACCAGCAGGTTCTGTTACCTGCTGAGCTAACAACGTTCTTTATGCTAAGTCGTAGCTAATTCTGGGCTAACGTCTCTGTCACCTTCATCGTCAGGTCGTTTCCCGGAGAACTTCTCCGTCATGGCTCTGGTCAAGGCCCACGCAGGTCTGCAGGCCTTCCTCCTCTCCATCTACAGTGAGCAGGGCGTCCAGCAGCTGGGCGTTGAACTGGGACGCTCCCCTGTCTTCCTGTACGAGGACCAGAACGGCAAACCGGCCCCAGAGGACTACCCTCTGTTCAAAGGCGTCAACCTGGCCGACGGCAAGTCAGTAACCAGACACAGCCTGTTTGTTCACTGTTGAACTGTTGGGGTCACACACACACACACCTTCCTGTTCAGGGTTTTGTCATCTGGTTTTTGTTAATGCACTTCCTTTGCCTCCCTCTAGGTGGCATCGCATTGCTCTCTCCGTTTCCAAGAAAAACGTGACTCTGCTGCTGGACTGCAAGAAGAAGATGACCCGCCCCCTGCCCCGAGGCAACAAGGCCGAGGTCGACACCAACGGCATCACTGTGTTCGGAGCCCGACTCCTCGATGAGGAGGTTTTCCAGGTGAGTCCAGGTCGTCTCGGCCCGACCTGACCGTGTCTCCAGAACCGTCTCTGATCTGGTCCATCCTTGACCTCCGTCCTCAGGGAGACATCCAGCAGCTGCTGATCGCCTCCAACCCTCAGGCGGCCTACGACTTCTGTGAACACTACAGCCCAGACTGTGACTCCCCGCTGCCCCAGACCCAGGCTCAGGACCCCAACACATTTGTGAGTGACACCAACGACACCGACAGCCACCGCGTGTGAATAAACCTGCTGTCCCAGAGTTCATAGCAGCTCTGGGACAGCAGGTGTGTGTGTGATATAAGAAGTGACAAACCTAAACCAAGTCAGTGGACTTTTCTACTTCCTGTGGGACAGATAGACGACAGAGAAGAGTCTGACATTAGTGCTCAGGCGCCACCTACTGGTGTAAAGGTTCTTAAAACAGTTCCTGGTAATCTTAGTGTCTGGGTTAGTGTTTGGTTTGTTCACCTCAGTCACCTGACCTGACCGTGTCATCAAAGTGCTGCTCTTCTTCTTCTTCTTCTTCTTCTTCTTCTCCTCCTCCTCTTCCTCTTCCTCACATCCTCGTCCTCTGCAGCAGTTTGTCTTCGTCCCCTGTCCTCCTCACCTCTGCTCAGGTCTCCAGGTGACATCATCATCACTTCACTCCAGCTCAGATCAGTGTAGGTCTGTTGTTGTTGTTGTTGTTGTTGAACACACAGAGAGGGTGAAACAAGCAGTGACATCATCACACATCAGACGTCTGATTGGGTCTTCTGCTGTAGACCAGGAACTACTGGCAGTGAGATGGTTTAAGGTGGAGCCTCTGTGCTTACTGAGACTGGCCTGTGTGTGTGTGTGTGTGTGTGTGTGTGTGTGTGTGTGTGACACGTTAGGAGCTCTGTGACCACAGTGACGTCTGAACTTCAGTCAGGCCACACGTCGTACACACACACACACACCTGTGCGTCCACTCCTTCCTGAATGAGTACAAATCACTGAGGTTTGATTCATTTCCACTTCTGAACTTTTTGTTTTTCCCTGAGTCAGAGCTGATGTGTGTGGACGAAAGGGGCAAAACTGGGCGGGGGGGGGGCAACAAACGTAGATCAACACCATCGTTATGACCAAGGCCTGAAGTGGCAGTATTTTACCCTCTGACCTCTGACCTCTGATGAATGGGAAAAACTAACATCGCTCCTGTTCTGTCAACATGTCTTACTTTTCTCCTCCTCCTCCTCCTCCTCCTCCTCCTCTCCCCTGCCCTCCCCATCCTCTGCTTAACCTCCCTCTCCTCCGTCAACCTCCCTCTCCCCCCACCTCCCTCCCATCTTTCATGCTCCGCTCCTCCTCCCCGCCTTCCTCCCTCCTCCCCCTCGCCTCCTCCGTTGCTCCACCTCCTTCAGTACTTTGATGAGGAGCAGGTTGACCATGAATTCCCCTGTTGTTATGAGGAGACAACAGGCGTTCCCTCCTTCTCCCCTCCTCACTCTGCAGGTAAAGGAGGAGCAAAAAGAGAGGGAGGGAAAACAAGAAGCTGGGTGTGTGGGAGAGAGGGAGAGGTTCGATTCCTGACCAGGCCGCCTCATGTGTTTTCAACTGTTGACTCTTTTATTTTTATCCAATAATGACCACGTGAAATCTTTGGTTTGGACCAGAGCAGAACGGCCTCCTCTCTCCTCCCCCACGTCTCCTCCCCCACGTCTCCTCCCCCCCGTCTCCTCCCCCACGCCCCCCCCCCCTCAGTTTAATCACCTCCTCTTTTTTTTAATCCTCCTCCTCCGTCACACAGGATCCACCTTTTCTCCCTGCGATTATGTCAGTGTCATTTACATGTTGTCAAATGTGTTTGTGTGTTCAGACGTGGCCAGGTGGGGGCGCTGTAGGGTGGTGGAGGTGCAGCTGTGTTCTTACACAGACACTCACGCCGTCTCCACCACCAACGGCAGTTTGAAAGACAGTAATGGACTAAAAAAAAAAAAACAGTGAAGGACGTCATAAAACAAACCTGTGAATCTGCTGCTGCTGTGGTGCAGTGGCTCATCACTCCTGTCTGCATGCAGAAGGTCCAGGGTTTGAGCCCCGGTCCAACCTCATACTTATGTTAGCATGATGTGTGAGTGTGTGTGTGTATGTGTGTGTTTCATCCTAAGTCCGTGACGTTACCCACCCCTGGAGGTCCAGTTAAGACTGACCTACTGAAATACTGCCCCCTGTCTTCTATCTGTTGCATGACTAACCAGAAGCCCCCACCCTCTCACACCCTCTGCATCAATGCAGTGTGTTTCTGTGTGTGTGTGTGTGTGTGAGAGTTCAGCTGCAGCTTCACCTGAGCAGCCCCGCCCTCAGTGCCTCCGCCCAACCCCAGCTGCGGTTCTTTAGTTTTGGGAATGGCATTACTGGAGAGATCTGCAGACCGATGTTCCTAATGTTCTGATCTGAAGAAAACGTGAACCTTTTCCAGGTTGACTCTCACCATGAGCCCAGTGTTTGTGAAGTCATGTGACTGACGTTGGTGCTGATGCTCTGCTGTATCCAGTAATGCCTGTACAGTCTCAGTAAATCGTCCAAGCCTTAGCCATCTTTATGTCACTGTTTCCTAAAACGTGCACTCTTGTCTTTCTGTCCATCCCTTCTCTGTGTCTCTCACCCCCTCCTAACCCGCCCACGTGTCCCCCATCTTCCTCCACCCTCTCTCTCTCTCTCTCTCTCTTTGTCAATATTCACCGTATCACACTAAACCACACACCAACCCACGACAATCGCGGACTCAAGAAGAAGACGTCTAATGGAAAACCAGCCCAAACTAAACCCAGCCCCGTCAAACCCAAACCTACCCTGGCCAAGTCGGCCAAGACCGGACCTTATAAACTAGTCGTCAAGCCCCCGTTGCCCACCAAAGTGGCCAAGACCTCCGCTGCTAAGCCGACCAAGGCCAAACCCGCAGCAGTGGAGACCTTCTTATCTAAGATCAGACCCACTGCGGGGGCTAAACCCAAGACCACAGCTGCCCCAGCTAAGAGTGTCAACGGCAAAACAGCTGCTGAGAAGAAGACCAGTGTTGTCAACGGCAACAAAAAAGCTACAGGAAATGGCAAAGCTGAAGCTAAACCAACGACTCAAGCCAAGGTCAGTGGTAAGAAAATCAACGGTAACGGAAAATCCTCCGCAGAGAAGAAGGCTAACGGAGCGGCAGCTGTCGCCTCTAAGGCTAACAGCAAAGTTACAGCTGAGAAGAAGGTCAACATCAAAGTCAAGGCTAACAGTGGAAAGGTTAACACTGTGGTAGAAGTCAAAGTCAAGGCTAACGGCAGTGGAAAGGTTAACACTGTGGTAGAAAAGAAGGCCGTTAGCAACGGCGCTGGCAAAACTGAAACCACTAAAAAATTAAAGACGGAGAAAGTTGTCAAAGTGGGTGCAGCTAAAGCCTCCGTCACCAGAGCACCCAAGGCCACAACGGCATCAAAACCACAGCCCACCAAAACGGCAAAGGCTGCGGCCGCCACACTCAAGGTCGCCAAGGTCGCCCCCGTCAGACCAACGCCCAGCAAAGTCTTCGTGTCAAAGAAGCAGGCCACGACCCCCGTCACTGTCCGACCCACTCCACCCAGACCCACCAAGTCCAGGGTGTTCCTGGATATCAAATCCCACCACAGACCATTCCCACCTTTTGGCAAGACTGCGCTGAGTGGAACCTCCTTCCCTGCCAAGAAAGTCACCAGTGGTTACCAACAGGTACTGCAGCAGGACTCAGGACGGGGTCCAGACTTGAACAGTATGTCCCTACAGTCTCATCTGGGGTCCAGACCTGTCCACCTTTTGACCAGAACCTCTCCTGCTGGGTTTCATCTGTTTGGACGAACATGACAGGAAGTGTGGTTCTATACCAGCAGGAAGTGACACACAGAGACAGGAAGTCAACGCAAAGTAGTCAAAATGGACGTCAAAATCGAAAGACAGTAAAATGTTGTAAAAAGCTAGTAAAGAAATTCCTTAAAGATAGCCAAAAATAAAATGCTAACAACCCCGGGAACTATTTAAGAAATCTGCTAAAAAGAAAAATCACAATATACACTAATTTGAAACAATACTTTTTTTTGCCCAAAGGTTAGCTAAAAATGAGTCGACAGATCGCTAAAGGTCAACCAGGAGAACGTTAGCCAAGATGTAACTGAAGGCTAGCCGTCAGATCGTCGACGTCTGTTCTCTCGGCTAACCTTTAGCTACTACAGCTATTATAGCTACTTTTTCTGACATTTACGTGAAGGTGATGCCCCCGCCCCCTGGTGGACAGTCTGGTCTTCAGCATGAATACCGGTTCATACCAATCTGGACCCTGTTTCTTCTGTTAATGTGTGGTCACGCCCTGACCGCGCCCTGTCCTACACCGTGACGCATGGCTCGCTGTTGAGTTTCACTGTCGCTTCTGCTGCTGAAACTGGATCTTCAAATCTGAGGCTCAAAGTTCAGTCCAGTGAATGAGCATGGTTTAGTCCGAGCTGAGAGAACAGCAGCACCAACACACGCACCACACCTGCACCTCCACCTGCACCTCCACCTGCACCTCCACCTGCACCTCCACCTCCTCTGGTCCACTCTCTCCTCCTCTGTGTTCTCCTTCTGTTCTGAGCCTGTGTTGTTGAAAAGAACGTCCTCAGAGAACCTCCAGACCTTCATCACAGCTGAACTGTGCAGCGACACCTGCTGGTGGAAGAGCTGTTGTTGTTGTTGTCATGAAGAGACGGAGGTTCTGTGAGGCTGAAGGTTTGTTTTTTTTTGTTGGTGGGTGAAACTAGACATCCTGAAAACATCGTCTTCATCATCTTCATCCTGATGTTTTCACCTTCAGTGGATGATAGAGGCTCCGCCCACAGTCGTTTTCACCCCCGGGTTATTCTGGACCATAGACTTTATCAACAGGAAATGGACCTGAAATGTGATTGGGTGAAGAAGATCATTTGACATGAAACCTCAGTGAGGTCCAACCCCCTCTGAGGTCTTTTATGGTCCTTAAATCCACGTCAAGGGTTTCACTCCAACCACCAGGTGGCGCCAACCATTTCCTGTATAAAGTCTATGACCTCAAGATTTCAGAAGAAATTGTCCAAAATAAAGTTCCAGGAAAGAAATGTCAGCAGAGTTATCTCCAAACTTCCTAAATCTTCCATGAGAATGTGGGTAAGATTTATAGTCTGGAGGAGCTGACGTCTCTTTTCTAAACATGACTCTAAAACTGCAGGGCGCTGGTCCCACAGCTGCCGCAGTTTTTGTTTTTTTATTTTTTTGTACTGATTTATTTTTTCTTCTTTTTAACTCACCAATAAGCAGATTTTGAAACTAATCACCCTCTTCCAATCAAATCTGCTTATTTCCTCCCCGCCTCTCCCCACTTCCTGTCCACTTTGACCAATCAGGACGTAGACACTGAACAAAGCGAGGCTGGCCACACCGCTACAGAGACTGACTATTTCTATGAGGAGACGCTCCCCGTGCCAGACGGTGAGGTGATTGGACAGGAGGACATTCCTGAGCAGGTAAACCACAAAGACGAGGTGCGCGGGTCACAGGAAGTGGCGGTGAGCCCAGTCTCTGTAGTCTAACCAAGTAACCCTAGTCTTCTCACCGCTCTAACCACACATCACTGATTGGTTGGCACTGATATCACATGACCAGACCCCGGTCGGTCTACAGACCACATCAAGGTTCCAGTCTTCACCACAGGAAGACCGGCTTGTTGAATTTTTGATGTGAACTTTTTAACGTCGGTCGCCGACTCTGACAGAGTAGAACAGTCCGTTCTGTTGCTCATTACTGACATCTGGTGGTTCCTGGGAGCCACTGCTGTCCAGTTGAAACTCATCTGCAGGTAGTGTAAAAAAAAGCAAACAAACAAACAAAACCAAACTGATAAAAGTCTGTCCATCTGCACACATGGTCCGGTCCAGTCCGGTCTGGTCCGGTCCGGTTCAGTCCGGTTCCCTCCGGTTCAGTCCAGGTAAGTCCTGTTAATCGTAGCATGTAGCAGCTAGTTTGACTGAAGGGTGTCGTAGTTGTAGATCAACTCAGAACCTGATTGGACGGATCAATAACGGCTGGAACTAAACCATCGATGGTTCCACACCGTAGCGGTTAGCACGCCAGCCTTCAAACAAAGAGCAGAGAGTCCTGGGTTCGATTCCCAGAAGAAAACACATTTTCTAACGGCTTTGGATAAAAACGGGGGGGGGGTACTGCAGTCGTAGTGGGGGGGTGAGGAGGTCGTTGTCAATGTTTTATTATTTTTCCTGATGTTTTTTTTTTAAGGTAAGACTCACTCCTGTCCATATATGCCCCTCCTCTCTCTGACCTCACACATCTGCCCTGTACTTCCTGTCCTGTCCTCCTTTCTTCCTTCATTCCTTCTTTCCTGTTTCCTCCTCCTGATCCCTCCCGCCCTGGTGCTGTGCCTGTAACACCACCACCAGCCACAGGTGGAGCCAGTGTTGGTGGGAGAGGAGGTAGACGCCACCAAGGCAGGTGGTGCAGGCGAGGAGCTCTTCACTGAGGAGTACGTGACAGGAGACGTGGGCCTGAAGGAATACGACTATTCCTACAGGGACTACAGTGAGCCTCTAGTGGAGACCGGAGGGAGCGACGCCCACATGGGCCCCGCCCTGTCTGCTGTGACAGATGAGGGAGGCGTAAGTTGTTTTTGCTTCAGCAGCAAAAGAAAAAAAAAAAGATTTTCAACCACGTTGACTTGAGATGTTTCTAGAAGCGTGTGGTTGACCAATGTGAAGAAACAACGTAGTTCTGTGATAAAAAACAAAACAAAAAACACAGCTGACAAAGGAAGCTGGACGTGTCTAAAGTTCACGTGTCAATTATCAGGGTTAGGCAGTTTAAAAAACAACAATTTATTCGTAGTAAAATCGTCAGCAAACTAAACACTTGTCCCATCATCACCTCCCAGCATGTGTCTGTGGGTGCTTCAACCTCTGGTCAGCGGCCCCAGCCTGTGTCAGAGCAGTCTACGACTGACGGTCTGACTGAATGAACTGAACTGAATTTCAGAAAGAAACTTTTTCTACATTTTTTTATTTATTCTTCTGTATTGATATATTGACTGTTTTCATTCCGTTTGGATCAGTCACAAATAAAAGCAGGTGAGAAACACTGCCCTCTAGCTGCCATTTCACCTTCCATTCCAGTGATGTGTAGAAAAGGTAATCGTGATTATTCATGATAAACGGAGATTAATCTGCAGTCACTCTGTGATTAATCAGATTAGGAATGTGACCTTTGACCCCCCGTTAAAGAATGGTCCAATGGTAGGGAGGAACAGTCAGAGACAGGCGGACATGTCCAGAGACTACAACGCCACAGAGTCAGTGTTTGAATCAGGGTCAAAGACCGATCCTGTTCCAGGTGTTGAGGAGTCCAGACTGAAGGGGGCGCTGCTTCATCAGAGGCAGAGTCACAGGCATCAGGCCCACACGGGCCTCATCCTGGACAGTAGGTAGGAGATAAATGGCATCCACGCAGATACCACTTATCTTAGAGCTGATCTGGTGTTGGACCTGCTGAGACGAGAAGGTTCTCTGAGGACCAGAGTCTGGAGAAGGAACTGAACTGAAAACAATGGGGTTTTTTGTTTTTTTTTTTTCATTAATTGTTTGTTGTTTTGTTTTTGCCGCTGCACCAACGCTGACCTCACCCTGTTGTCACCCCCACCTCTGTCTCCCTCAGGCTGCCATCAGGGGGCAGAAAGGAGAGAAGGGAGAACCTGCCGTCCTGGAGCCTGTGAGTCACATCAGAACATGAGCTGAGTGTCACTTGAATTAGAACTGTTGATAAACTGAAGGTGGCGTTGTCTTTCCAGGGAATGCTGATTGAAGGACCTCCAGGCCCAGAGGGACCTGCTGTGAGTAGATGTTGATCCAAACCTTCTCTTGTCGTCATCGTTAGTATAATTATAACTAACGCGTCTCTATCAGCTTTAATCTTTTCTATCTTTGTGTCTTTTTAACGTATAAAAATAATCTATAATATAATTAATAATAAAGTTAGGTTAAAAAAACATTCATTATAAACCAACATCAGTAGAAATGTTCAGAACATTCTAAAAACGCGTCTCCTCTGGTGCAGGGTCCCTCCGGCCCCCCCGGCTCCTCTGGACCCCCGGGCTCTGTTGGAGACCCTGGTGAGAGGGTGAGTGGTTCACGTCTGGGTTGTTCTCTCAGGTCATTGGATGGAATATTTAAAAAAACAACAACAACAACACGATCAACAAACAACTTCCTGTCTCCATCCTCAGGGAGCGTCTGGAAAACCGGGTCTTCCAGGAGCTGACGGCGTCCCTGGACCTCCAGGAACTTCAGTCATGTTGCCTGTGAGTCGTGAATTAATCAGGTGTAGAACAGTTTGAGGCCCAGCCTTGGAGGCTCTTGTTCATCAGAACTTTCTTAATCCTCCTCCTCCTCCTCCTCCTCTTCTTCTCCTGACAGTTCCGCTTCGGTCAGGGTGGGGGAGACAAAGGTCCGGTGGTCTCTGCACAGGAAGCTCAGGCGGCGGCCATATTGTCTCAGGCCAGGGTCAGTCCTCACACATTCAGAGTCATGAAGATGTTCCTCCGTGACCACTGATGAAGAAGATTTGTCTTTTCTTTCCCCGTCTCTGTAGATGGCGCTGAAGGGTCCTCCTGGACCAATGGGATACACTGGACGTCCTGGACCTCTGGTATGTTACCTGAGCTCACCTGGTATTCTAGACTGTAATTCTAGCTAGCCCGCTAGCTACGCCTGCGTTTTACAGAGATTACATCAGCTAGCTAGCTTGCTAAGCCTAAAAGAAAATCAAGCTGGTTAGTTAGCTAGCTAATTCATTTCATCCTTTAGCTCATTTTAGCCTAGCAGTTTGCTATATAGCCATTAAGCTAGTAAGATAATCGAGTTGTTTAATTTGTCTGTTTAAGGAACAATCTAATTGGATAATAGTTGGTTAATTGGTTGGTTAGTTAGAGTGTAATATATGATGATGACATGATGGTTTGGTTTCCAGGGAGGTCATGGAAGTCCAGGTCTGAAAGGAGAGAGTGGAGACCCTGGTCCTCAGGTGAAAACAGCAGAAACTTCAAATATATCAATTATATATATATTTATATTTGTGCAGTAAATGTAAATGTATTTTGTATTTGTCATTTAAACACCTCATATTTTCTCAGGGCCCCAGAGGACCCCAGGGTTTGATGGGACCTCCCGGCAAATCAGGAAGAAGAGTGAGTATTTAAATAATCCACAAGAGGGCGATCTGTGACTAAAGTGTTCATCTTTCAGTCATTATTTTTAAACAATCTAAATGTTTGTTTTTTGTTTGTTTTCTCTCTCTGTTTCCTGGTCCTCCTGCTCCTCTCCTGACAGGGTCGTGCTGGAGCAGACGGAGCCAGAGGAATGCCTGGAGAGTCTGGAGTCAAGGTGAGCTCAGGAAGTTGGTTTTGTGTTGGTAAAAAAGAGCTTCTGTTTGAGCAGCAGCTCTTCTGAAGAGTCTCCTCTCACCCGTCTCTCCTTCTCTCTCTCTCAGGGTGACCGTGGTTTCGATGGCCTGCCTGGTCTGCCCGGTGACAAGGGACATAGGGTGAGTGAGTGGACGTCCTGGTGTCGTCATGGAAACATTACATCTTCATCAGACAGAGCAGAGTCAGGGTACTGAAGACCACTGTGAACCTTTGTCTCCTCAGGGCGACTCCGGACCCATGGGACCACCAGGATCCCAGGGAGAGGACGGAGAGAGGGTGAGGAGACCTGCACAGAACTGATTAATAACAAAGTCAAACAAACCATAATGATCAACGTTAGCTGAGCACCCTGACCCTGAGGACCCTAACCCTGAGGACCCTGACCCTGACCCTGACCCTGACGACCCTGACCCTGAGGACCCTGAAGCCGTCACACCAACACAGACACAAGGCTCCATACTTTATGATTAGTTCTTAGAACTCTTGGTCGCCACCTGCTGTCTAACATCTTAAGGTCACTGACATGTTTGTTTGCTGTCCTCAGGGAGACGACGGAGACATTGGACCCCGGGGTCTGCCAGGTGAACCAGTGAGTGTTTTCTTCGTCACCTGGTTTCATTTCCTCCTCCTCTTGTTGGGCCTTTTCTACCTGTCACTCAAAGTAGAGTAGACGCTACAAAAAAGGTCGAGTCAAAGGTCATCCACTGTAAACAACCAAAGGTTTGAGTCCAGACTGTCCTCGGTCCAGAGACGTGTCCTTCAACTGGAGGAAAACTGTGACCTTTGACACCTCTTTGACCAAGTGTGATCATGTGATCACAATTAAATGACTGATTCCTCTGTGTGTGTGTGTGTGTGTGTGTGTGCAGGGACCTCGTGGTTTGCTTGGACCTAAAGGTCCTCCTGGAATCTCTGGACCTCCTGTGAGTACATGAAGCTAACGACTGTTCAGTCTGTGCCTGTTGTCCCTGAAGACACCAGCAGGGTGTCCTCTGTCCCTGGTGTCCACTGTGTTCTTTTGACTCTGCTAACGTCCACATGTACAGACACAGCGGTCATGGCTAAACATCCGGTCAAATAATTAGCATATGCTGAAAGACATGCTAACAAACTGCTACAAACTGGAACTATTTGCTCAGAATCACAGACGTTGATGTCAGATGTGATGTCCTGTATCACAGCAGCCTTAAGTGATCGATTTAAACAAAACATTAACATTTTTCAACATTGTTTTTTTTTTTTTTCCTGTTTCTTTAAGGGTGTGCGTGGAAACGACGGGCCGCAGGGACCTAAAGGAAACCTGGTCAGTGTGGACCGAGCTCTAATGATGGTCAGATTTCAGTCAACCTTCAGGAGTTCATTCATTCTCTCCTCTTTATCTCATCAGGGTCCTCAAGGAGAACCTGGTCCTCCAGGCCAGCAGGGGACTCCAGGAACCCAGGTCAGACACCATCTTCCAGTGACCCCTAAAAATGTTGACAATTTATGAATTAATTAATTACTGCAAAACCTGCGTGGACCCTGTTCAACTGGACTGGACATCAAAGGCGTTGTTGATGTATCACATGGGTTTGGAACCTATGGCTGGCGGCCCAGATGTGGCTCTGTTGATGACGGCATCTGTCACTCGGATGAATCTTAGCTGCATTTCTGTAGATTTAAGTTTTTCTTCAGAGACTTATTATATTATATAATTATAATTTCTAATTATCGTCTTGTTTAAAAATCCACACATTTAGTTTAATATTCAGAGTAAAAAAGAAATATTTTATGGCTGTGACGGAAATACTTTTAAAATACATTTAAAAATATGTGACTTTTTGACTCTCTCTGCTAAAAGTTGTATCACAACAGACGACAGTGTGACTAAAAGTTAGCCAGAGCTACAGTAGCTACAGCTAAATGCTAGTTACAATAGCTACCAGGAAGAAGCTAAACTGTAACTGAATGTTAGTACAGTTATCATAATGCTACATGCTACCTCAGGACTGTGTACCAGTGCTACAGACCATGGTGTCAGCAAAAAAAAAAACCAAAAACCATTCTAAAAAATAAAAATGCCTCTTCTTCCTGTAGCTCCTCTGTTCTGTCTGTGGTGTCGTTAGCACGAGAGTGGCTAAAGGTTAGCAATGAATGAATACTTGTATGTGTTCCACAGGGAATGCCAGGACCTCAGGGAGCCCTGGGACCTCCAGGAGAGAAGGTAAGACCACCAGGACCACCAGCAGGAGGCGACTTCAGTCTTCATTTGGACACTGGTCTTTATTTACTCCGTGTTTTTAGAGTTAAAAGATTTTGATCCAAACTTTGATCTGACCCTGGATCAGTTCATACACAAACACAGAGGTCACCTCAGGACACTGAATAAACACTGGACAACAGCACCACCCAGTGGACAGAAGGAGATACTGCTTCTTTTTTCTTTTTTTTTTCTGACATTTCATCATGTCCACTGACTGTGTCTCCTTGTCCACCAGGGACCGACTGGAAAACCAGGTCTGCCGGGAATGCCTGGAGCTGACGGCCCTCCTGTACGTTTGTTCATCACTCTGTGTGCGTGTGTGTGTGTGTGTGTGTGCGTGTCTAATTGTCCTCCCCCCCGTCAGGGTCACCCAGGTAAGGAGGGTCCTGCTGGTACCAAAGGAAACCAGGTGAGTCACCTGTTGTTGTCGCCTGTCTTTCCTTCTGGGAACGTCGCTGACATCTGTCGACTGATGAACGATGACACGGCACTTTTTAAAACTCTGACTGATCTACGGAGGTTTCACCAACCTCCACCTGCTGCTAACTGTTGAAGCTAACGTCCGTCTGAGGACTTTCTGACTGACCTTTCTGACCGACTGCTTCATACTTTACATCTAAAACCTGAGTCTGAGTCCAGGTCTCTCACTCACTTTATTCACCCCGCCTCCCTCGCCCCCTCCAGGGTCCAAACGGCCCCCAGGGACCTATCGGCTATCCCGGCCCTCGGGGCATCAAGGTGCGTTAAAGAGTGAATCTGATTGGTTGGTGAGTGGTCGTCCAGCTGATTATTGTTGATTGACTCTGCTCTGATCACAGGGAGCTCAAGGAATCCGTGGTCTGAAGGGTCACAAGGGAGAGAAGGTGACGCACACACACACACACACACACACACACACGTAACAGGAAGTGTCCTGGTCCTGGTCCTGGTCCTGACGTCCACTGTTGTCCGTGTTCGTAGGGAGAAGACGGTTTCCCTGGAATAAAAGGAGATTTTGGAGTCAAAGGAGAGAGGGTGAGACAGACCCCCCCCCGCTCCCCCCCCACTCACCCTCTGAGTCCTGCTGACTTACACCTCCCCTCACTGTGGTCTGTTTCTACACTGACAGGGTGAGATCGGAGTTCCAGGACCCAGAGGAGAGGACGGTCCAGAGGGGCCAAAGGGCCGCGTCGGACCCCCTGGTGAAGTCGGACCCCTCGGATTAGTCGGAGAGAAGGTGAGATGAAGTGTCGACAAACACTCGATCTGACGTCAAACCTTCAGCTTCGCTCTGATTGGTCGATGTCACAGATGATTGACATTCTCACCTGATTCCAGGGTAAACTTGGAGTTCCAGGACTTCCTGGTTATCCTGGAAGACAAGGACCAAAGGTAAGTCCTCCGCCGCCCGTCGTAGTTCTAGTTCTTGTCCTCGCACCAGATGTTGGATCACCCTCCTCTCAAACAGATGCTGATGAGTTTGATCTGTTTTTCAGGGATCTCTTGGATTCCCTGGATTCCCAGGTGCAAACGGCGAGAAGGGAACCAGAGTAAGTCCTGGGTTCTACTGCAGAACCTTTGTTTTTTCTTTGTAGATTTTGTTCTTTTCTCTGTTCATTTCAAGAGGTTGAATCTACAAATATGTTTCTCTCAGGGTTTGGGCGGGAAAGCAGGACCCAGAGGACAGAGAGGACCAACGGTACGGTTTCACTGGATCACAGGATCTCTACTCAGATTTACTCAGAGCGTTAGGTTGTCGGTTGAACTCCACAGTCACTTCCTGTCTCTCTCTCTGTCACCTTCAGGGACCCAGAGGTCAGAGAGGACCAAGAGGAGCCACTGGGAAATCAGGAGCCAAGGTTTGAGCACACTCAGCTTCCCCTCGGTGTTTTTAATCTTTGTGAGTTTGTGGAGCCTTCGTTCACCGAGTGTTTGTCTCTCTGTCAGGGCACGTCAGGCAGCGATGGTCCTCATGGCCCCCCAGGGGAGAGGGTAAGTACTGCAGGAGTACCCCGACCCACGTGTGTCCACATGTCCAGGTGTTAAATAAATCAGTGACTCCTGGAGTCAGAACCGATTGATAATGTCTTTGTTGATTGTCCTGACGGTTGACGGACGCCTGTCCTCACGGTTGACGGACGCCTGTCCTGACGGTTGACGGACGCCTGTCCTGACGGTTGACGGACGCCTGTTTTTACGGTTGATGGACGTCTGTCCTGACGGTTGATGGACGTCTGTTCTGATGGTTGACGGACGTCTGTCCTGACGGTTGATGGACGTCTGTTCTGATGGTTGACGGACGTCTGTCCTGACGGTTGATGGACGCCTGTCCTCACGGTTGACGGACGCCTGTCCTCTGAGTCCCGTCTTCAAATATATTCTGACATGTGTCCCATGGTCTCGTCTCCAGGGTCTGCCTGGACCTCAGGGAGCCAACGGTTTCCCAGGACCTAAAGGACCACCTGTAAGTAGGCGCTCGGTCACCACCTGGTCACAGACTGGACTGTGGGTCACTGATTAAATCCTGGTTCATTTCACAGGGACCTCCAGGGAAGGACGGACTTCCTGGACACCCAGGACAGAGAGGAGAAGTGGTGAGTACCAGTCCAGGGACCGATGGGTTCTGTGTGTTCTGTAAACCTCAGGTGTCGGGGACCTGGTCCAATCAGAACCAGGTTTGTTCACCTGGACCAATCGTTCGACGAGACCCTGCAGCAGGTTCCAGGGTCGACTCCCAGAGCGACCTGAAGACCTCACCAGGCAGAGGTCCAGACCAGATGGTCCCTCATCTGGTTCCGTTTCCTCTGAGAACCTCCAGAAGAACAAGGTTCTCACCCGCTGACCATCGCTGAGAGAACGTGAAGGAACAAGGACTGGACCGTCCTTCCTGTTCCGTCCATTTCTTATTTACAGTCAGTGTTTGACCAATCAGGCGGGATCCTCCACACAGGAAGTTCTGCGGTGGTTCCCATGACTGGACTGGAACCTGAGGAGAACCCCGGGCCGTAGACCTGAGGTCATGAGGTCATGAGGTCAACTATGGGCTGAACTGAACTTTATCTGTTCCAGGGTTTCCAAGGTAAAGTGGGTCCACCTGGTCCTCCTGGAGTGGTCGGACCTCAGGTGAGTGTCTCCGTCTCCTCACGTCCTCACAACGTTCCCTTCACTGTCCTCCTTCCTTACGCCGCTCCACTTCCTGTTTCCTTCCTCCGTCCTCCCAGGGTCCATCAGGAGAGACCGGCCCCATGGGAGAGCGTGGCCATCCCGGACCCCCAGGACCACCTGGAGAGCAGGGGCTTTCTGGACCGTCAGGAAAGGAAGGAACTAAGGGAGACCCTGGACCTCCAGGAGGCCCAGGCAAAGACGGTCCTGCAGGTCTGAGAGGTTTCCCTGGAGAGAGAGGACTTCCTGGAACGCCGGTGAGTGAGAGACAGGAGACTTCTCTGGACCAGGACTTCTCTGGACCAGGACTTCTCTGGACCAGATACTTGGGCCTTAGACAGATTAGTGACTCCTGCTCTCTGTGTTCCAGGGCGGTGGAGGACTGAAGGGCAGTGAAGGACCTGCTGGACCTCCTGGACCTGCTGTAGGTGTCAGAACACTTCACTCTCAGACGGTTGTTGTTCTTGTTGTTCACCTGGTGCTGCTGTCTGTGTCCAGGGTTCTCCAGGTGAGAGGGGACAGTCTGGAACTGCTGGACCTGTTGGACCTCCGGGCAGACCTGGACCCCAGGGACCTCCTGGACCAGCTGGGGAGAAGGGAGTTCCTGTGAGTGTTCTAGAAACTCAGAGAAGGTCACGTGACTGTCTGTCCGTTTCTAAGCCCTGTGTGTGTGTATGTGTGTGTATGTGTGTGTGTTTCTCCTGTGAAGGGCGAGAAAGGTCCGATCGGCCCAGCAGGTCGGGATGGTGTGCAGGGTCCTGTGGGTCTCCCTGGTCCAGCTGGATCAGCTGGGGTACCAGGGGAGGACGGAGACAAGGCCAGTGACACACCAACCACAGCGATGTTCTTCTCTGTTTACGCTCTGCTCTGACCTGATGTTCTGTGATTTCAGGGCGAGGTCGGAGAACCGGGTCAGAAAGGTGCCAAAGGAGCCAAAGGAGAACACGTGAGTGTGAGAACGTGGTCCTGAAGGTCCATCACACCTCCTCTGGCAGGTTCTGACTGCTTCTCTGTCTTCCCTAGGGTCCTCCCGGTCCACCTGGGTCCATGGGTCCTGTGGGTCAGCCTGGTCCTGCTGTAAGTCTGACCTTTGACCTTGGACAGTCTGTAGGTCATGAGGTTGTACTTGTTCCTAACGTCCTGATGCTGCTGCAGGGTGCTGATGGAGAACTTGGACCCAGAGGTCAGCAGGGACCGTTTGGAGCCAAAGGTGACGAAGGAACCAGAGGGTTCCCTGGAGCTCCAGGACCCATCGGACTTCAGGTGAGAACCACGAGTCCGGTCTGGGTCAGGATTCTGGGCTGGGTTTAGTCTCTCGCTCCAAACTCCAGAGAGAAATCCTCAGATTTTGGCTCAGTCGCAGTCACTGATGTCGTCATCGGTACTTCAGACGCGAACAGAGACTACTCCTCCTGCTAACCTGCTAACCTGCTAACGTGCTAACGTGCTAAGCTATCACATTTGTCCTGCAGGGTCTTCCAGGACCGTCTGGTGAGAAGGGGGAGACGGGAGACGTTGGACCTCTGGTGAGTTCCTGTTCTGCTGCTCAGTCATGGAGAACGTCCTGAAGAACACTCAGAACATGATCTTTGTCATTTTCCAGGGCCCTCCAGGACCTCCAGGCCCTCGTGGACCTGCTGGACCCAACGGTGCTGATGTAGGTTTTTAGCCTGACCTTGGTTTGACCTCTGACCTGAGGCCTGTCTGTGTGACATTCAAGGACCGTTACATTTTTACAGAAATAACTCCGTGTCTTTGTTGGACTTTTCCAGGGAACTCAAGGTCCTCCTGGAGGCATTGGTAATCCTGGACCTCTTGGAGAGAAGGTGTGAACTTTAAGGTTTTCCCGGTTCTTGGTCCAAACCTTTGGTTCTACTAACGGTTCATTTTGTGCAGGGAGAATCTGGTGAAGCTGGACCGCCTGGAATTCTTGGAGAGCCTGGAAAGAAGGTCAGTGTGTCTCTGAGAACCCCCCCCCACAACAATCACTGATGGCTCAGTGGCGCCCCCTTGTGTTTAACACATGTCCCCCTTCATCCAGGGACCTCGTGGAGAACGTGGAGAGAAAGGAGAGGCGGGACAACCTGGAACTGCTGGACCTGCCGGAGGACGAGGACGACCTGGAGACGATGGACCCAAAGGAAACCCGGTAGGACCGGAGACTGATCACTGATTGGACGCTGGTTGAATTAGGTTCCACTTTGTAGGAGGAAATTTAGCTAAAGTTTTTTTCTTCTGCTGAATAAAACCTGATGTGTTTCTTTGATGCTAACGTTTAGCTTCCTGAATGCTAACGTTTAATTATAGTTTGGGCTAACATTTAGCTTCTGTCTGTCCTCTGAACCTCAGGGTCCTGTTGGGTTCCCTGGTGATCCTGGTCCTCCTGGGGAGCTGGGTCCCAGAGTGAGTACTGTTCATGTTCTAGTCTCTCAGATTAACTTCATCCTTGATGAAGAGCGCTCCTGGTGGTGAAGGTCTGTGTGAAGGAGGTCCAGGTCCAGGTCCAGGTCCAGTCTGGGCCTGGTCCTGGACCTGGACCTCCTTCAATCTCTGAACTGTTTCCTCTCAGGGTCAGGACGGAGCCAAGGGCGAGCGAGGAGAAGATGGAGAAGCAGGAGAAGCTGTGAGTTCACACACACACACACACAGGTGGGGGAGTGGCTGCTCCTCCTCACCTCCTCACCTCCTCCCTCTCTGTCCACAGGGCACACCCGGACCTCCTGGAGAGAACGGACCTCCTGGACCTCCAGGGAAGAGGGTAAGGTCTCCGGTCCGTGGGAACCAGTCGTCCCTCAGATCAGGTCCACATGGTCTCATGTCCTGTTCTGATTCTCAGGGTCCGGCCGGAACCAGAGGAGCAGAGGGACGTCAGGGGGAGAAGGGGACCAAGGGAGACTCAGGAGCCGTTGGTCCTCCAGGAAAGACCGGCCCCGTTGGCCCCCAGGGTACACCAGGAAAATCAGGGACCGAAGGTCTGAGGGGACTCCCAGGACCAGTGGTCAGCAGAACCTTTGTCTTTTTTCCTGTCTTGTGAATGAGGAGACTGGAGGACATGATGTTGACCCGTCTCTGTCTCTGTCTCTGTCTCAGGGTGCAGGAGGATCTCCAGGACCCGCTGGACAGAAGGGACCACCCGGACCCCTGGTGAGAGACCAGAACCGGTTTGTTCTTGCCCTGTCTGAGCTCCACGCCTCCTCTTTTTAACGTCCTCCTCTTCTACTTTCACCTCCTCCTGCAGGGACCTCCTGGTTTGCCAGGTCTGCGTGGAGACCCCGGTGCCAAGGGAGAGAAAGGACATCCTGGTCTCCTCGGTCTGATCGGACCCCCGGGAGAGCAGGGGGAGAAGGGAGACCGCGGACTGTCTGGGCCTCAGGGATCATCTGGACCCAAGGGAGAACCAGTAAGTCTGTGCTGCCCCCTGGTGGATGAACATGGTTCCTCAGTCCTCTGGACGGACTCTCACGTCTCCTTTGTTTTTGACAGGGAATGCCCGGAGGAAGTGGACCTTTAGGTCCCGCTGGTCCTCCTGGTCTGCCCGTAAGTGTTTTGAACTTCTTGGACTCTCCTTTCTGTTCTGGTCTCAAACACTGACGGGTGTCTCCTGTCTTTTCCAGGGTCCTCAAGGTATCAAAGGAGTCAAGGGAGCATCTGTGAGTGAAGTCGTCAGGTCATGTCATCGGCCAATCGTGTTCTCTGTCACTCCTCTCTCTCCTAACTCTCTCCTTCTTTGGCTGATGTTTAGGGAGGTTCTGGACCCAAGGGAGAAAAGGGAGTTCAAGGACCTCCTGGACCTCCTGTGAGTGATTTGGTCCAAAACTGTATCTTTATTAAAACAAATACCAGGTGTCAGACCCAGACTGCTGACGTGGACTTGTCTCCCAGGGTCCACCAGGTGAGGTCATCCAGCCCCTGCCCATCCAGAGGAGCCCCAAGTCCAAACGCTCCATCGACGCCAGCCAGCTGCTCCCAGAGTCCGACCCCGACATGCCGGCGTCGGACGCCACCGGTGCGGAGTTCCAGATGGACAGTGAAGGCCTGGAGGAGATCTACGGCTCCCTCAACTCCCTACGCCAGGAGATCGAGGGCATGCGGTTCCCCCTGGGGACGCAGGACAGTCCAGCCCGGACCTGCCAGGACCTGCACCTCAGCCAGCCCCACCTCAGAGACGGTACGGGGACAGACGGGGGGAGGAGGGGGTTAAAAACTCAGGTCACTTCCTTCATCTTGTTCTGTCTCACTGTCGCCCTCTGCAGGAGAGTACTGGATCGACCCCAACCAGGGCTGCTCCAGAGATTCCTTCAAGGTCTTCTGTAACTTCACGAATGGAGCCGAGACCTGTCTGTATCCCAGCAGGAGCGTCAGCACGGTCAGTCCCACACCAGGAGGCGCAGCAGCAGGAGGAGGAGGAGGAGGAGGAGGAGGAGGAGGTGATGAATTCAAAAAACTAAAAGTTTCTTCTCTGATGGCAGGTGAAGATGAGCTCCTGGGACAAGGAGACGCCAGGATCCTGGTACAGTCAGTTTAACACTGGTACCAAGGTGAGTACCATCTGGTCCACAGCAGTGTGGCGCCTGTATGACCTTTGACCTCCTCCTCCTGACCCTGCTGCTCCCTCTCAGTTCTCCTACATGGACTCTAACGGTGAGGCGGTGGGCGTGGTCCAGCTGGGCTTCCTGCGGCTCCTCAGCGTCCAGGCCCAGCAGACCGTCACGTACCACTGCCACCGCTCCGTGGCCTGGTCCGACCAGAGCTCCCAGGACAGGTACCAGCGGGCGCTGCACCTGCGGGGGGCCAACGAGGAGGAGCTGAGCTACGAGACCAACCCCTACATCAAGGCCTTGGTCGACGGCTGCTCTGTGAGTCCACACACACACACACACACACGAACAGGGTCTCAGTCCAGGGTGTGGTCCACAGTATGTGGTCTATGGGCTGTAGCCCACACACACAGTCAAACAGTCTGACAAAAATACATTTACATATATTTATAGATATATTTATAGATATATTTCTGACCCCCCCCCCCCCCCCCCCCTTCAGTATCGCAAGGGCTTTGACAGGACGGTCCTGCAGATCAACACGCCGCAGGTGGAACACCTCCCCCTGCTGGACATCAAGGTGTCAGACTTTGGGGAGAACAACCAACAGTTTGGATTTGATGTGGGACCTGTCTGTTTCCAAGGCTGAACACACACACACACACACACACACCTGCACTTAGACACACACACACACACACATATATAACACACATAAACAAACATGTCTGGTAATTTGTAAATTATCTTGTAAATGACAACACACACACACACACACACACACACACTTGGAGAAACAGCGACTTCCTGCCAACAGTCGTGGACGTCAGACAACAGTCTGATCAAAGAGGAGGAGAACCCACAGGAGAACGTTCTCCAGGATCAGCCCAGGGTTTTCTTCACAGACGGACCTCCCACATCACCTCCTCCTCCTCCTCCACCTCCTCCTCCTCCTCCACCTCCTCCTCCTCCTCCGCCTCCTCCTCCTCCTCCACCTCCTCCTCCTCCTCCACCTCCTCCTCCTCCTCCGCCTCCTCCTCCTCCTCCACCTCCTCCTCCTCCTCCACCTCCTCCTCCTCCTCCACCTCCTCCTCCTCCTCCTCCGCCTCCTCCTCCTCCTCCGCCTCCTCCTCCTCCTCCACCTCCTCCTCCTCCTCCACCTCCTCCTCCTCCTCCTGCAGCTGTTTGTCTCTCCCTCAGTTGGTGGCAGGAGGTGAACGTCAGGACAAACACAAAACCTTTTCTCCCTCGACGTTGACGTGACTGACGACAAACACAGCAGTGGAATTTAGTCATGAAAAAAAAAAAAAACCTTAAAGATATTCTGGACAGTAGGTGGCGTTGTCGCTCTTCACTTGGGTCAGACAGGTTTGTGACGTGGGGCCGTGACCCACGTCGGAATTCTCGGTTTCCTTCATTGACAGTGAAGTGTCTGCTTCAGCGTTAGCTCCAGATTCACACCAACGATTCACACCCACGATTCACACCAAAGATTCACACCAAAGCTTCACACCAACGATCCACACCAAAGATTCACACCAACGATTCACACCCACGATTCACACCAACGATTCACACCCACGATTCACACCAACGATTCACACCCACGATTCACACCAACGATTCACACCCACGATTCACACCAACGATTCACACCCACGATTCACACCAACGATTCACACCCACGATTCACACCAAAGATTCACACCAAAGCTTCACACCAACGATCCACACCAAAGATTCACACCAACGATTCACACCCACGATTCACACCAAAGATTCACACCAACGATTCACACCCACGATTCACACCAAAGATTCACACCAAAGATTCACACCAACGATTCACAGCAAAGACAACATCCTGTCACCGTCTTCTCTTCGCTAACGACTTAACCAGTTATCAGTCTTGATTACAGCGCCCTCTGCTGGATCTTTCTGGTGGTGCTTTACCAGAGTTCAGATGTTCGTTTGTTTGTTTTTTTAGTTGGACGATCAGTCGTTAAGTTCTGACCAATCCTGTCGCAGTGTGAAGACATGTGAGCGTGAACCAGTGGATTTAAAAGCCATTCTTTTTATCGACCAAACCTGATACTGTTGTTCTCCGACAGAACGTCCTCCTCTTTGTTAGTCCGTGGTGGGACAGGACCTCCTCCTCACCCCCCCCCCCCCCCGGCCCCTCCGTGTTGTTTTTTTTTATTCAATATTTAATCTGGGATTAATTGTCAACGTCTTCCTGCAGCGGTGAATAAAGTGAACGCTTTACCAAAAACACGTGTGACACGGTGCTAATTATGCCAAAGTCCTTTCGCCCTAACCGGCTGTTTTTATCATCTTTAGTCTTTCTCTCGGGGTGAATGTGCGTTAGCTAACATTTGTACAGAAATAGTGATTTTCTAATGTATTTATTGAAAACACAAACGACAAATCCACACACACACACACACACACACACACCTGTGTGTCCAGACTCAAATGGTGCTTCAGCGCCCCCTGCTGGACAGACCTGCGTCAAAGGTGGTTTCCTTCTTTTGTATTTATTTCCAGCAGCTGAGGCTAAAGGTCACGTGAGGGTCAGCTGGGGTTCTGTTCACGTCCGGTCCGAACCAGAGGTTCTGTGTAACTTCGTCTTTAGATTTTCTTTTTTTCTTTTATAAAACTGTGCTGTTGTCGTTCCAGGTTCTTCTTTTTGCCTCTGTTCTAATTAAACGGTGACTCGTCGGTTCCGTGCCTGTCTTTGGTACTGTTTACTGGTTCAAGTGACTGTTTGGTGTCTTTACAAGAGTCTCTGTCAAACCACAGCACGGAGGAGCAGAGCGGGGGGGGGGGGGGGGTGTTCACCCACCACTGAATTTAATATAAATATTGGTACAAAGTGATGAAAATCTGTGTTTGTTATGATGAAGAACGACCTCCACGTCTGTCTTTGTTCTGTTTACATCAGCGTCTCCACATCACAAACCAAACGACACAAACATTATGGTGCTGAAAAAAAAAAAGAACAAATAATATTTTAAAAATTGTGTGTAAGTAATTTTTTAAATAAAATTCCTGTTTCTGTAATATATAATCTTTTTAAAAAGAGCTGCTTGACTCTTGTGTTTCTTCAGACTCTTGTGGGTTTTTTTTTTTATCTTAATGTCATAGTTAACAGGCGGAGGTCAAAGGTCACGGCATCACCGTGGTAACAGAATTAGCTTCATTAATGGAGCCTTTATAGCTGCAATTCAATATCGTTTAGGTCACGTGATAATTATTCAATTGGCTGAAAGAAACCAGGAACATCTGCCTTTTTTTCTTCCTAAAAGTAACTTAACATGTATCGATAATATTTTGGGTTTTTTTTATCTTAATCATTTGTCATTTCTGATTATCGTTTACACGTCACCGACCTGTCGCTCAGCTTGTAATATCGCGAGATTAAAGTTCCGTTTTGTTCCGCGGCGCCAATCACTGTGCCTCACGTGTTCTCGCGATATTCTACCGGGGTCTCCCCCAACCTGTTCCAGTTCACGCTGCCTCTCGCGGGAGAACGTCACTGTTCGATCGTCCCAAAAAAATACAAAGTCCCCGAAATGCCTTAAAATGCAAGATTAGGTCCTAAAACATGCTGCCAGGTGATTATTTTATATTTAAAACTCTAAAAAGTATTTTATATGAATATTTCAAAAATCACCCAAAACACGCCTTACTATAGCCTTACCATCGTGAAAAAATCTCAAAAAATAAAAAGTCCCCGAAATGCACTAAAATGCAAGATTAGGTCCTAAAACATGCTGCCAAGTAATTATTTTGTGTTTTAAACTCCAAAAAGTATTTTTTATGAATATTTCAAAAAACACCCAAAACACGCCTTACTATAGCCTTACCATCGTGAAAAAATCCAAAAAAATAAAAAGTCCCCGAAATGCACTAAAATGCAAGATTAGGTCCTAAAACATGCTCCCATGTGATTATTTTGTGTTTTAAACTCCAAAAAGTATTTTTTATGAATATTTAAAAAATCACCCAAAACGCGCCTTACTATAGCCTTACCATCGTGAAAAAATCTCAAAAAATAAAAAGTCCCCGAAATGCACTAAAATGCAAGATTAGGTCCTAAAACATGCTGCCAAGTGATTATTTTGTGTTTTAAACTCCAAAAAGTATTTTTTATGAATATTTCAAAAATCACCCAAAACACGCCTTACTATAGCCTTACCATCGTGAAAAAATCCAAAAAAATAAAAAGTCCCCGAAATGCACTAAAATGCAAGATTAGGTCCTAAAACATGCTGCCAAGTGATTATTTTGTGTTTTAAACTCCAAAAAGTATTTTTTATGAATATTTCAAAAAACACCCAAAACACGCCTTACTATAGCCTTACCATCGTGAAAAAATCCAAAAAAATAAAAAGTCCCCGAAATGCCTTAAAATGCAAGATTAGGTCCTAAAACATGCTGCCAAGTGAATATTTTGTGTTTTAAAGTCCAAAAAGTATTTTTTATGAATATTTCAAAAATCACCCAAAACA